TAGTTAGCCTTGCCCTACCATCCCTGATGTTTGTTATGCACATGAATTCTGTCACAGCTGGATCTGTTCCATGCTTGATATTTTCCCGAGCAGACAATCCAGGAACCTCAGATCTCTGATATGCTTGGTATTGTACTACTTCTTAGGGTTTGCCTTCACAATGGCCTTTCATAGGCACCTCAAAGGGACTATGACCCTACCACGTGTTGCTCTCCGTCATTTACATTCTAGAATTTTGAAGCAAGTATCAACAAGCTCTATAGTCTTGTATTTCCATGCCTGCAAACCCAGTGCCACCTGTACCATGCTTCCAAGTTCTGTGGTAAGCTTCTAATATACACTATGGATAACAATGTCATGGGATATTCTACATAAGGTTAAGTTAATACATATTTTTATAAACTTAATTATTTCTTTAAACCCTTGGCCACAGTTTACTCTCCCTCCTCTCCTTCCAAGCCTCCCACCCTTTCTATTCCCAGCCCCTAATCTACTCTTCTTCTGTTTCTGTTTAGGAAAGGGCAGGTCTCCCATGAATATTAACAAAATATGGTATATCAAGTTGCAGTAAGACTGAGCACCTCTTCATGTATTAAGACCCATCAAGAGGAGTATTAACAACCAGTATGAGGTGACCCAGTATGAGGAGTAGGTTCCCGAAAGCCAGTAAAAGAGTTGGAGACAGCCTTTGTTACATCTGTTAGGAGTCTCACAAAAGGACCAAACTATACAATTGCAATATACATGCACAGTGCCTAGGTCAGTCCCATGCAGGCTCCTTGGTTGTCATTTCAATCTCTGTGAGCCCCTATGAGCCCAGGTTAGTTAATTTAATAATGCATGTTAACTATAAATGGTGCCTTACTGAGAACTAAATATGTTAGTACCTTCCCTTATTTTATTGTAACCCAAATCATTCCTTACACAAAAAAGGGAAACGGTGAGTCCTGTTCATATTTGTTAGAGCCATTCATTTTTTTTTTTTTTACAGATTCCTTAGATCAGTGGTTCTCAACCTTCCTAATGCTGCAACCCTTTAATACCGTTCCTCATGTTGTGGTGACCCCCAGCCATGAAACTATTTTTGTTGCTACTTCATAACTTTAACTTTGCTACGGTTATGAATCACATATCTGACAGGCAGTATATGGAACCCCTGTGAAAGGGTCATTAAACCCCCAAAAGTATCATAATCTGCAGGCTGAGAACCACTGCCTTACATGCTTAATTCCAATACCAACATATGCAGTGGAACTTCAAATGCTCTGCTGACCATCTATAGGGAAGTCATTCACAATGGTAATACCTAATGTCATATGTATTTGGAAAACAATATAAAAGAATCGTATTCATACCAGTTGAGAATGTGCAAGAAGGAAAAGTTCATGGTAGAAATAGATATCACTGATGCCCATTAGGGTGTTGAAAAATCTCAAGAACAGACTGGTTAACTTCCATTGAGTTACTGAATGGGGTAGACTCCTTGGAATCAAAACCATAGTGGCATTGTCAGTGAATTTTATGCATGCCAGAACTAAATGGTAAGAACTTATTGCTGATATTAAATATTCATCCTGCATGTTATGAAGAAATTAGTCTGAAAATGAGTGGACATTTCCATAGGACTAAGCAACCTTCATCATGCCACATGAACCGTACTAGTTACTAGAATAAGTGTCAATGTGAGACATGTACAATGAAATGATATTGGAACACTCAGCCAAGTAAGATGTAACCACTGGGCCATAGTGGTAGAACTGTTATAATGTCATCAAAACACTTTGTCATTGGATTTAAGACCATCTCAGCATCATAGAACCCATGTTTTCTATTATCCAGCTTAAAAATTTGTGTCTAAGGAGGTAATAGTCCAATAAGATGACCTCTGCAGTTGTTTGGTTCAATAGATGTGATGTTTCTACCAGTTGCCTTCTAAACTGTGTTTAAACCCTTTATCTGTCTACCAAGTAAAACTCTGTACAGTCTTCCATGAATATTAATAAAGACTTGCAAAGCATAAACTGTTCAGAATAAATACTATTGCTATGTCTGGGTGGTTTAGGGAATATTGCAGATGAAATAATAGGAATATACAAGAACCTGGAGAAAACAATGTAAGTCTGGGTGATAGCTATTTCCATTTGAGTATAAAAACCCCATCATTATTTATGAACCAGAGATTGCTGAGTCTATGTACAACATATTTTGGACACTAGTAACAACCTGGAAATAAGATAAACACTGGAGATGCACTTATGTCTGTGGTCACGAATACTAGGTTGCTCTCCCTGACCCTAACAGAGAAAGGTCATGGGATCCTGATTTGGATTTCAGGTGTTACTTCCTTCTGCCTTCTAGCAAATCTGCTCTGCTATATAGGAGGTGGAAAACTAACAGAAGGAAGGACTACAGTGGTGCAGATTTCCTGAGTTGGCAGACAAGCTGTGGTGTGACTTCTCAGAGATGTCATTCTCTTTGACTCAAACATTTTCTTGTAAGTAACTCCTCATTTGAGTTCCTCTATAGATGCTTAAACATTATGTTATTGGGCAGTTTATTTATTGCTATAATTGTTGCCCTATTTGGGATAATTAGTTATTTGTTCATACCAAGCCAGGAGAAGCAAAGCCACATAGACTTTAGGTACACTTTGTGGTCATTGCTCTAGAAAGAAAATACATTCTGGGATTAGTGGGTTTCAGAGGGGAGTCATTTTAGCATAGAGATAGGTAGCTATGTCTAGAGACATTTTTTCTTTTCTTTTTTTCATTTTTCTTTATTAAGAAATTTTCTACTCACTCCATATACCACCCACAGATACCCCTCCTCCCTCCTCCCACCCCCTGGCCCCCTCTCCCAAGCCACCCCACATTCCCCACATCCCCCAAATCAAGGTCTCCCATAGGGAGTCAGCAGAGCCTGGCACACTGAGCCTAGGCAGGTCCAAGCTCCTTCCCACTGCACCAAGACTGCACAAGGCAATACACCACAGGCACTGGATTCCCAGAAGCCTACCCATGCACCAGGGACAGATCCTGATCCCCCTGCCTGGGTGCCCCCTAAACAGTTTGAGCCAAACAACCAAGACAATTTTTCTTGTCTTAACTGATATGATGTACAAAGTGGCTGGGTGGGGGGGCATTACCTGTGTCTAAGGGTTAGAAACCAGGGGTTTGTTAGAATACTACATGAAAAAGATATATCCAAAACAGGAAATGATTCATCTCAAAAAGTGAAAATTGCAGATTAAGATGAAATGAGAGCAGTAGATTCTATCGGTCAAATTAATAATATTTTAGGAAAGAAGAAAGTGACATAGTCTGATTCCAGAGTCTTGACTGTGAGTTCTTTGCCTTGAATGAGTGTAACCAAATTGTTACTTCGGGAGAGGAATGTAGGCAAGCATAGCACATGTGGGTACTAAAGAACCTTGACAATTAGGTTCAAGTAAAATAATGATGTAAAACCTCACACTAATGCTAACTTCCTTTTATTTTTTTAATAATATGTCAAGAAAAATGAATCAGTAACAACTATGAACTTGACTTTATGAAGTAGAAAAACAAAATATGAGTCTTCTTCCTTTCTTCTTAGACTGTGAAAATTCTTCAGTTGATGAATGGGTAGAATGTACATATACATATTTTAATATATATGTATATCACTCTTAAAATAAATTTAGGAAAGCATGTATATTTTGAAAATATATAGTAATATGAATTTTTGACAATATCTTTACTTTATATATAAAATTGATTGTTATCTGTATTTTATACAACTTTTCGATATATTTAGACATTTTAAGTATTTGGTTGTAGATGTTTCCTGTGAATTCCCCCTATCAATTTTCTAAGGTTGTGTTGGACATTACCACTAATATTAACAAAGTTTCTATTGAAATATATAGTCATAAGAGTCACATTTTATAACATAATTTGTCTCAGACTTGTGTCCATCAAAATAGATAGCCTTTTAATTTGGTAAGTGCATGGTGTATCACCCTGTTGTAAACTATTGATGTGTTACAGTTCTATGATTCTTCATGTAAAGGACACATGTAAAGGGAACTGACGAAACCAACACTGATCATTGCAAAAACATTTAAAGGCATCTGTTCTACAGAGCAGAGAAAATAGATAAAATCAAATTCCTGGAGCGAGTAACATGTCACCAAGGACATTGTGTAGGTCTTTATGTGTAATAATGACAACCCTTGGCAACACAAAGCCTTAGAAAAGATGCAAAGTCCTCAGTGTGTGTGTGTGTGTGTTGCCTTCGAAAATTTTTAATAATGGGACTACTAAAAAAATCACACTAGCTACAAATACAGTTTATTTATTATTTATCTTTTCATTATAACTATGTTGCCAAGCCTATTTACAGGCTTATTGTAAACATCAAACTGAGAGGAAAATGTCTGAAACATTTTGCAAAGAAATAAATACATGACATTTTGGAGTTGAGTTAACGATATCAGGCAGTGGCATTATGTTTATGACAACATTCTCTTCATCCTCAATGTTAATAAAAAAGAAAATAATGTATTTTTCATGAATAATGAAGATAAAGCAAACCTATGCATGTTGCCTTTGTCAGATTAGGGTCAAATATGCTAGTATTAGACACTGAACTATGAGAAACAAATTTTTAATTGTCTTATTACTCAAAATGAAGAGAAATCTGCAAGACCTTAAATGATCAGAAAAATATGATTAGATCAACCTGACTTGATTTATGTTAAGCTCCAAATGATAGGAAAAAACAGAAACATGTCTGTAAATAACACTAAAAATTCATTATCTTAGTCACATTTCAAAATAGAAATCTGTGCAAATGTATTTACTTACCTAAATTTGCACAGTGGAAGACATTTATTACTCGGCACATCTAAAACTGTCAAACTGTGTAAAAGATGCCACTGAGGTAAGGCTTCCATTTACAGGATGATTGTTGACAACCTCAGAGAAAGAAATCTCAGAGTGGCTTCTCTTCTTGTTTAGCAAGGACACTACTCCTGTTCCTAGTGTCCAACCTGCTCTTGTGGGAGAATGCAGCCTCTGCACCTACCTGTGTCAAGAGGGATCTGGATACCCAGAAGTCCTTAGAGAGACTAGTTAAATTGGCCACCTTTATGTCTAAGATGATCAATATCCAAGCTGGAGAAATATTTACTGAATTTGTAAGTACCTCTCTGACCTATGGCTTCTTTCAAAAATGGGCCTTCATGCTACTAGTTGGGATGTAATATAGACTAAATTTGGAAGCATAATGACCCAAATTTCAAACAATATACCATCACAGGGAGAAGAAATCAGCAGTTACTAAACTCTTTAACAGGAGAAAAGGACATTCTCAAGAAATGTCAGATATTTCCTCACATGAAATAATATTTTTCTCTATTTTTGAACTTTAATTTACACCTGTGACATAAAGTCATGAAATGTATGGCTAAGAAAAAGGTGTAATTTTTTTTATTCCTTTATTTAGTGCAGTAGTTCTCAACCTTCCTAATGCTACAACACTTTATTTTTTTTTTTTGTTTTTTTTTCGAGACAGGGTTTCTCTGTGTAGCTTTGTGCCTTTCCTGGAACTCACTTGGTAGTCCAGGCTGGCCTCGAACTCACAGAGATCCACCTGGCTCTGCCTCCCGAGTGCTGGGATTAAAGGCGTGCGCCACCACCGCCCGGCACTTCAACACTTTAATACAGTTCCTCATGTGGTGCTGACCCCAAACCATAAAGTTATTGCATTGCTCCTTCACAACTGTAATTTTGCTACTATTATGAATTGTAATTTTAATATCTGATCTGCAGGATATCTGATATGTGACCCATGAAGGGGTTGAGACTCACAGATTGAGAACCCCTGATTTAGCAATTTGGCTTCCACTGGTATTCATTACTTTGGGTAATATAGATAACCAATAAAGGAGGATTGCTTTCCATGGAGCTGCAAACAGTAGACTACACAGACATAAGTTTTCACTAGGAGAAGTTTTCAATTTTTTTCTTTATAAATCTGCAAATGCATTAAATCATTTTTTTTTTGTTTTTTCGAGACAGGGTTTTTCTGTGTAGTTTTGGTGTCTGTCCTGGATCTCAGGCTGGCCTTGAACTCACAGAGATCCGCCTGGCTCTGCCTCCTGAGTGCTGAGATTAAAGGCATGCACCACCATCGCCCGGCACATTAAATTATTTTTCAACCATTCAAATTCATGTGTTTGTAACAAGGAGTTCCGGTGTAGAGATAGGGCTATGTCCTTCCTTCATATTATTGCTGTCAAATATATATGCATATATATATATATATATATATATATATATATATATATATATATGTATGTATGTATGTGTATGCATATATATATGTTCATATTTTCCTTTGCATATTTGGCTGACTACTTAGTGTTAGACAACCTATTGGTCATTCATCCCAGGAATCAATTGATTTGCCCTCTCTCAGCAGCCATGAAACCCCTGTAGCTTTTCATCTAAGGATAGAACTATGTAGAATTTCTCCTGTTTACATTAACAAGTCAACCAGTATTATTACTATGCTGGTTTTGTTTAGTCAGTCATATTGTTGAAAATTCGTGGGTTCACTTTACCTGTCATGTCTAAGGGGAGCTATCTATCAGCACATTTCCTGGGACTTTGACTTTTATAAGCTTTCTACCTCACTCCCCCTTTGAGAGTTTCTCTGAGTTTAGGTTTAAGAATTGCATTAAAGATATATTAGTTGGGGTTGGGAACCTCAAAGTCACTCATTCTCTGCATTTTGACCAGTTGTATATCTCTGTAATGGTCTCCATCTATTTCAAGAAGAACCTTCTTTGGTGAGGGGTGAGATTAATCTTATCTGTGGGTAGAAGGATATTTATTTAGAATACAGTTACAGAATATGTTTTTTAGGAACTAGCAGTAGTAGGTTCTATAAATTTCCATTCACAAATAGTTGGCTAGGTTTACATTACTAGGTGTCAATTATCTTCTGTTGCGTTTAAATCAAATATCTATCAAATGCAACAGAATTTGGTCAATGGCTCATTCATATAATTTTTAATCTCTAACTTATTTAATATTTCATCATTTCCAGGATAAACAGTATGCCCATGGCAAGAGGTATAATGATAGGGTCCCTGACATCTGCCCCACTGATTTTTTTGAAACTCCAGTAAACAAGGAGCAAGTTCTAAAAAGCAATGTAAGTGTTTAACTCTTTTGTATTTCTTTACCAGAACAACTGAAGCAATATAGCATTTCTACACACAGTGGAGGTGATCAAAGGCACTGCAATGGTTATCATATGAGCAATAAAGAAATCATACAGCATGGTTAATAAATTATAAGTGAAATATGCTAAGTGGTATTTTAGATGATCCATAATTTTACATAGAGAAGATCCTTTTACCACTGTGAACCCCTGGACTTGTACTTATTAGTCTGTTGGAAAGTTTCAATTGACATTAACATTCATGGTTGAATATTCATTAATGTAATGAAGGCAAAATACAATTCAACAGTTGTATTTCTCACAGTTACTGATGAACCCCAAATTGGCAGCACAGCGGATACTGACCTGTTCCTTTCTTACTGTTAAGTAGTTCCTGGTTCTGCTCCTTTTTCTTTTGCTAAGTGTTAATTCCTAACTGGTTGTTCTACTTTTAATTTGTAACTGAAAACCACCTAAGAAAAGAGTCCAATGAACACTGTACTTTATTCCTCAGGTTAAAATCATCCTTTCTGTATGATGACAAGTCAATATATTATATCAGCTCCAATTTACAATTGTCATCATCTCTTATATATGATTTCTTGCCATAACTGATCTCAGGGTGGAGTGGAACATTACTATATATCCCTACACATCTACACAGTACAATCCATCCTACATGTTATACTTAATGTACATCTACAGTTCTCATTTAAACAATTATGATATAAATGAAGAAAAATAAAGGAAACATTAACAGTGGGAGTTTGAGCAACAAAACTCATTTATTGGGAGGGATTATTTTGCTAGAAACTTCATAGAGCACTCTGCTGACAGTTCTGAGTGTAATCTTCAACAAAATTTCATAACAATTGTCAATGGCTACATATTTCACATATACAAATATATCATCTATAAAATAATATGAGTAGCTACAAAAATTTATTGCAATTCATTTATTCTAACACTATTGTTAAATTATGATTACTTAGCCAGAAGTACTACTGCAATTGGTATACAATCTACTGTATTCCTGGGGCGACCCTCTGCATCATCTTGTGAATGAAATACCTATCATGCAAGGAGATCCTTATTCTATTCTCTATAAAACCAGACAGATGAAGGCAAAATTTGAAGACCTCACGGAGGGAATTAAAATAATACTCAGCGAGGTAAGCAGTCTGCTGGCAGTTCTTTGTTTTCTTCATAATTACATAAGGTGTTCTTTGTAATGACTAATATATTTTTAAAGTGTTTTACTTTGCAAAAAAAAATTAAAAAGCAATGTAGTTCATGCAGACTTACAGAAAACCACAACCAGTCAGAATGAAGAGTTGTGAAGTCCAATTCCAATGGATACATCTTCAAAATATTCACACATCTAAGGCTCAGGGAACATGGCAGAAGATGAGGAGGAAAGATTTAAGAATCATAGGATCAGGGAGTTTGTGTAAGAATGTGTCTCCTAGGAATGTCAGAATCTTCATCCATAGAGGTTCACCAACATGACTTCCTAAACATGAGATGAAAAAGGGCAACCCCAATAGACATACCAAAGTGGACAGGGCTTCAGGGGAAGGTCTGTGAGGCCTCACTCCTACAAGAAGAACTACCGGCAAGTAAGAAATGTTGAGAGTAGGAGAAATAGGCTTTGCCAAGGAAAAGTCCATCAGTTGGTTTTCCAACACCAAACAGTCAGCCCTGAAAACATAATATGAGTAACATTACACAGACTGATCAGGTTATATGTAGATATACATAGGTATGTGCGTGTAACAATAATTAAGGAAGAGTCCATGAATTTAAAAAATAACAAGGAATAGTATATGAGAGGATTTAGAAGGAGGAAAGGAAGGGAGAAATGGTGTAATTATATTCTCTCAAAAATAAAAAAGCAAAATCTTGAAAACAGAAAATGTAGGCATTCATATCTGTTATAGCCTTACAGTTAAAAGGGATACTAGCAACGCCACACCTCTCAAGTATGTTTTACTCAGAGTCTCTTACCCAGGGGTATCAGAAGAAACCAGATATTTCTCACTCTGTAGTATCTTTCCTGGGTAAAAAGACAGATACCTAACTACCTTAGCATATCTAGCATAGACATCCCTTGAATATTGCCTCTTGGACCATCCAGAGCAGTTCTTATTTGTTCTGGGCTCTATTGGACACACATTATTTGGAGAACTAATTAGGTTGAAAATCAGAAGGGGAATTGGTTTAATGTCAAATTCCGTGAAGTAAAAAAAAAAAACAAGACTGAGTCTACGGTGATGGCACACAGTTTGTTCAATAATAAAAATTAAATTCGTTCTTCCATTGTCCCTTTGTCACCTGTGTCAAAAATTAAGTAGCCACTTGCTGACTGTCCATCTAACAACTTCTGAAAGAAACATTTTATTAGTAATTTCACATGTGCCAGAAAATGTATTCATTAGGGGTTCAGTGAAGTATATCCATGAAAATCTGTGTCTATTTTATAATCTTGATAATATAAGTACTTTCACAAATCTATATTTAGAATGAATAAGCATCTAAAATATAATTAATACTTGGATGACTATCCCTTTGATGATTATGTTCAGATTGGAGAAAAAGCTAATGAGAGCTACCTTGCCTGGTCTGGGCTGACAGCCTTGCAGTCAAGCAATGAAGATGTTCGCTGTTTTACCTTTTACAACCTGTTCCGCTGCCTTCTCAAAGATTCCCACAGAATAAACACTTTTCTCGAGGTCCTCAAGTACCAAATCATCCATGAAAACAACTGCTAACAGCAAATTTATACCATCTACTTCTGAGATGCCCCTTGATAAGACAATAATGCAAAACTCCCTTTGAATTTTCCCCTCTCTTCTTCAAAAATAAAAACTACTTGCAAGTTCTAAAGTCTTTGTCAATTGGTATAAATTTCTTTTGGTAATTTCATAAAAAATCAAAATATTTCAGAAACAACAGAAGTTAAGCACCTAACTAATACATTATACAACTTACTTCAGACTCCGAGAATATTGTTATATATGTAAAATTGTTAGAATCAAAAAGTAATGTGACTATTACACAGTCCCTAAAGTCTATCAAAAAGCATAAATTTGGCAGTTTCATTTCGAATGCCAAGCCATCTTAATTGGACTTTTAGAAGTATACTAACTGAGAATACATGTAGTATGTATTTGCATTGTCTGTAAGTACTGTGAAATTTTTCAGTAATCAGAAGTGTGTTAGAACACAAGCAAGAAATGGCTCTCAATTTCTCTTCAACAATGAGGGCCCAAAGAGGAATGCATGGATTTCTTTGGGAAGGGGAAATAGAAGAGATCTCCTGGGTCAACTGGGGGTGGGTGGTGATGGGAACATGACAGATTGGGTTGCAGGTGGGGTTAAGGTGGAGGGTAAAGAAAGAGATGTCTTGATTGGGGGCCCATCTCAGGGTCAGGTAGAACCCTGGTACAAGGGAAACTCCCATGAACCTGCAAGGATGACTCTAGCTAAGACATCTAGCAATAGTGGATAGGTAGCTTGAACTGGCCATCTCCTATAATCAGTTGGGTGACTACCCTAATTGTTATCATATAGCCTTCATCCGGTAACTGATGGAAGCAGATGAAGAGATCCTTAGCCAAGCACTGGACCGAGCTCTGGGAATCCTGTTGATGTAAACGGAGGCTTTTCTTTCCTGCCCTGTCACATGGCCCTTTGTAAATAACCATTCAGAGACTTACATTAATTATAAATGTTTGGGCCGAGCGGTGGTGGCACACGCCTTTAATCCCAGCACTCGGGAGGCAGAGCCAGGCAGATCTCTGTGAGTTCGAGGCCAGCCTAGTCTACAAAGTGAGTTCCAGGAAATGCACAAATCTACACAGAGAAACCCTGTCTCGAAAAACCAAAAAAAAAAAAAAAAAAAAAAAAGTTTGACCGATGGCTCAGCTTATTACTGATTAGCTCTTAAAACATAAATTAACCCATTTTAATTCATCTATGTATTGCCACATTTACAGATCTGCTGGCATCTTGTTCCTTTGGTGGCTAGCTGGCTTTTCTCCTGACTCTGCCCTTCTTTGTGCCTGTATTCAGTTTGACTTTCCTGCCTAGCTATATTCTGCCCTGTCATAGGCCAAATCAGCTTTATTCATCAACCAATAAAAGCAATACACATTCACAACTTACAAAAGGACATCACACATCATGTTGAAGAGAGGGAACAAGGATTATATGAGCCAGGGAGTCAAGGTCATCACAAGAAAACCCACAGATACAACTAGCCTGGGCTCATAGGAGCTCACAAACATTGGACTGACAGCTAGGGGGCCTGCATGGGGTCGACCTGGGCCCACTACATATGTGTGTCAGTTGTATAGCTTGTTCTACTTATGGGACTCCTAGCAATGAGAGTAGGGCTTGTCGTTGACACTTTGGCTGGCTTTTGGGAACCTATTCCTCATACTGGGTTGCCTTACCCAGACTTAATACAAGAGGAGGAGCTTAGTCCTGCCTCAATTTGATATATCATGCTGCCAAAAGCAGACATGTCTCATTGTCCAGAAAGTCTAAATTTTTAAAAATATTTTAAATGACGTATTCTGTAGGTCTTTGAAGTGTTTGAAGATTACCTGTCTATCTGAAATATATCTATGTATACCTAGAAAACTTAACTAACATGGTACAAGTTTGACTGTCATAGAAGACTAATTATTAATCTGTACTTTTAATTATCCACTACAATCTAAATGAGTTACATAAACATAATACCTCAAATGAGAATAGAAATATATATACAGTATAACAAAATTAAGTTTAAACTTGTATCAATAAACTAAAATCTATACCAATGTAAAACATTTTAAACAAGTTGTTGCTCTTTAAAAGTAGGTTCATAAATCTACCCTTTTATCCTATCATCTCTATATCATATATATCTATATTATATCCCCTTTTCTTTTTTAGAAAGTGATCACATTTATAATCAACCCATTTTAAATAAAAAATATTGGTTTTTCTCTGTCACACACCAGAGGGCTCTTCTGATTTGGGACACAAGAATCTCTTAACCTTTTCTTTTAGCAATATGCCTGGGTTTAGAGGGTGAGTGAACCAATTCCATCTCCAAAGCAGCTTGTTGTATTTGGGAATTTGGGTGTAGCATCTCTTACTACTTCCTGCTGGAGGAGTGCGCTGTATCTTATGGGGACACAAAGAAAATTTTAAGCTTATAGGGTAGTCCGTCAGGCTGTATTGTCTGAGCCAGTTGCCTTGAAACAGTTCTGGATGTTGGATCATCTGGGTCATGGTGTCATCAAAGACCTTTCAGGGGGTCTTGGCTGGTCAAACCTGATGTATCTCAATCTGGAACAAACCCATAGCCTCTGGCTTTCTGTGAAAACAAAAGCAGAGCCTCTTTTCCAAAGCAACATATCCATATATCCAAATTTTGAAGTCAAGGTACCTTTAAAATTTACACTTTGGCATAACTCAACAGCTTTTAATATCAAATGTTTTTCTTCAGTTACGAATATCAAAGAGAACATAATCCAGATTCTCTGTGTGATAGCCATCTTTACATGGCTTACTTTTTATATTAATTTTACTGTCTCTTTAAAGACTTTATTTTTAAAAACTATGTTTTTGTTTATATAACTGTATATAATTCTTTTTCTCTCTCTTTTGAGCCTACATACATTTTTACATACATTGTAAACTATTTTATCTGAATCTGTCTTATTGTGAACCTATTGCTTTAAACTGCAGCATTCTAAGCCTGAAATGGGGCTGTGGCTGTTGACTCTGCCCACTTCAGCTTCCCAAGATGGCTGTGGTACATTTTCTGCCAGCTCTGGGAGTCATCAACTCTCAGAAATAGTAGGTCTATGCTTCTATCAAAGCTGCGTGTAGCCCAGAAACATCTTTTTTTTAATACTAGTAAAGACTAAATCTACCACACAGCATAATGTGCCGCTAGCAGATGCCTCATTCCCGCCATAGTGCCAGTCAAATGCGCATGCCAGGAACCCGCCAACTTGAGAGAGACAACTAGGAAGCTGTGTTTAGCTCCGTTTTAGAATCTTTTTTTAAGGTTTTAGGTGGAAACTCTTGCCAACCCCTTGGGCACCATTTGTAGCTTGAGAGTTTTCTCTCTGGGTCCCACCAAGCCTTGGCAGTCCCTTGGCCCACTTACAAAATAAACATACAGACACTTGTATCATTTAAACTGCTTGGCCATTAGCTCAGGCCTATCATTGTCTAGCTCTTACTCTTATATTCAGCCCATTTCTATTAATCTATACATTGCCACGTGGCCTGTGGCTTACTGGTACCTTACATCTTCCTTGTCCTGGCGGCAGCTGTAGGCAGTCTCTCCCTTCCCTTCCTGTTCCCTCAATTTTCCTCTCTTATAGTCCCACCTATAATTCCTGCCTGGCTATTGACCAATCAGTGTTTTATTTATTAACACATTTGCCATACAGAACATCCAACAGCAAAAACTAAATCTATAATTGAACATATTCAAAATCAATATCAGGTCTTTACCAAATCCAGAAGAATCAAAATAACCTCCTGTATCTTCTCAGATTATAGTACAATAAAATAAGAAATCAATATCAAGAAAACTGCATAATCTATACAAATACATGGACACTGAAGGATTTACTGTTTAGCATGTCACTGAAGAAATCAGAGAGGAAATTTTAAAAGTTCCTAGAGTCAAAAAATATCAAAGCTGGTGCAGAGACAACTGGCCAAACTAGTGGAAATGCATGATCTGTGGACCAATGGCTGAGGAGCCCCCATGGTGTTGGACTAGGCCCTCTGGACAAGTGACACAGTTGATTGGCTTGAAATGTTTAGGGGACCTCCAGACAGTGGGACCAGGACCTGTCCCTAGTGCATGAGCCAGCTTTTTGGAGCCTGGTGCCTATGGTGAGACACTTTGCTCAGCCTTGGTGCAGGGAGGAGGGGCTTGAACCTGCTTCAACTGAATGTAGCAGGCTCTGCTGATTCCCCTTGCATTGGAGGGTGTGGGAGGGAGGTTTTGATTGGGGGGAGGGCTGGGAGATAGGAGGAGGGAGGATGGGGAATCTGTGGCTGATATGTAAAATGAATGGAAATTTCTTAATAAAAAAAAGGAAAAAATATCAAAGCCCTGCTTGTTGTAACATTTAAGGTATAGTTGAAACAGAGTAACAAATGGTTGTTGACAATAGAAAGTGGGAGGAAAGATGACTGATTGAATCATCAGAGTTCCATGGCAGGTATCCCTGGGGTATATACATATTAAAGTGACAATGGTTTTAATACACAAATTATACGAAGACAGTATCCAGTTCAAATAAAATGATCATAAAGAATGACTTGTTCAACACAGAGAAATAGAAACATGCAGAACATATCTATGATCATGTAATGGAGAAGCAGATGTAGAATGGGGCTTACGACACAGTGAAGAGATCTTGTGCAATTGGCATTCGCATTCTAAAACAATTTTTAATTTTTAAAAATTGATTGTTTGGAAATTTCACACATTAATTTGGTGTATCTTTATCATATCCACTCCTTGATCCCCTTCCTCCCAAATCCTGTTTAGACTGTGGAGTCACATAAATATTGTATTGTCTTAGCTATGTATTCACTGTGAACATTATTTCCTAAGGATGGTGTTGATTTCATGAAGCACTATAATATTTGCATTTCTTATTATGATACACAGATAAGTTAATTGAGAGTTTTACACTTAGATTGTAATTACTTGACTTCCATTGCTTTCCTGTGAAGTAAATTGTGGATTTATTTTTTTACAAACTTAACATCTATTATTTGTGTTGAATTTGATTGGTGCAACCTGACTTTAATTATATATGTTTTATACAATGAACAAAAACAAATAGGTTTTTAGATTTGAGCATCTTTAATGAGGAGTTTTTATTTTTAAAAAGTGGCCCATTATACCCGCACATGCATTCACAAGGTATAAAATTAAAAAGAATCTTCTCAGCAATAGACAGTCATGAACCATCTCCAAAGCTGACAGAGTGATGAGCACTTAGCAATCTTTCCCAGTTATTCGACACTTCAATGTTTTGAGATGATTTACAGTGTGGAATACACCAGTGCGTAGGCAGAAGGAAAGGTTAAACATCGCCAAAAATTTATCGCTGTTGTTATTTGATTTTATGAATGGAAGATATTCCCAGGTAGGGAATTTTTCCATTATCTTTGCTGTATGATAGGCCTAAAAATCAAAATGATCCTCAGTTACTTGTTGATCATATTGGTAAAGTTCCTTTCTCATTGTTTCTTATGTGTTCAATCACAGAAATACATTCACAAATTTTGTTTCCATCAAAGGTGTGGATTTTCATTTTTGTAGGCCAGGAGACCTTCGATAGTTAGTCTTTTAAAAACTATGATTAAGACTCAAGTGCATCTGCCCTAATATGTAATTGATTGCAGATGAAGTATTCTCCTTTAGAAGCAAACAGAGCAAAAGTAGGAAGTTTGTATTTGACTTTGAGACAGTGAAGGGGGTGCTGTCAGTTTCTCACTCAGGAAATTTTTACATGTACTCTATATTTCATAGAAGCTGGTATGGACCATTATTCTTTTATATGTTTCAATTAAATCTATTCTCCATGCAGTTTGTGTATGAAAACTTAACATGTGATGGGGATCACATAGTGACTTAATATGCAGAGCCAAGGGATGACTGTGAAAGAGCTGAGCTTCTTCACGCCAACTAGGAAAGGTGTCCTCTAAGTGTACATGAGGAAGTGATGCATTTCATTCTGATCCCTGGAGCAGGAGGTGAGGAGAAGCATCTTAAGGAATGGTGGACCTGCCAGCAACCTCTTAGGGCAGTGGTTCTCAACCTTCCTAATGTTGAGACCCTTTAATGCAGTTTAAGTCATGGTGATCCACAACCATAAAATTATTTTTGTTGATACTTCAAACTGTAATTTTGCTACTGTTATGAATCATAATGTAACGATCTGTATTTTCCAATGGTCTTAAGCAACACCTGTGAAAATGTCATTGGACCCCAAAGGGTTCACAATCTATATGTTGAGAACCACTGTCTTAGGAGAAGATGACCTACAAAATGAGGAGCATTTCAGAATACTTTTTTAAAAATTATACAACCCACCTTTTTTATGAATGAAAATAATTAATAGGAAATTGCTTACCTCGGTGAGTATCCACCTAAGGTCATCCAGGAGTTCTTTGTTGTTCTTTTCAATCTCATTGGCTTTTGAAAGAATAGTTTCAGGGACAGCTGGCATGGCACTCAATTCAATCGCTAGATGGAATAGAGGGCTGCTCCAGGCACCCACATAATTGATCAACATTTTTAAATATTTTTTGGTCTAAAAATACAAACACAACAGAACCATTAAATTAAAAATAATTTCAATACAGCAAGTTAGTTGCTTGTGATGTTTATGTGAAAAAGCTGAACTCAAACATGTTTTTTACCATGGATATATCACAAATGTTGTATAGATGTTACATAGTATGGCAATGTAAAATTGAAACAATTAGTCTATTATCTACAAAATAAAACAAATTAGGATGATTATAAATTAGCATTTTTCTGAGGTTATGTCACCATGTTAGCTTTCCCTATGAAATTCTAACATATGCCTTCCTATTGACATCTTTATTATTTGGTTATTTTGCCTATCAGTTGGTAAAACAGGACTTGCTGTGGCTCAGTAGAGGCCAATAAGATTGTACTCAGGAAAGATAGAGGCCATCAGCTAGGGACAAGTGACTCAAATAATTTCCACTCAGGGATTATTAATACACATCAATAAATCATGGCATTCATTAATGAACTCATCTATGGTTTCTAGGTAAATTTAAGACATTGGAACAAGAAGAAAATAAAGAGAGCATGGTACTCATTAATGCGCTTTCCCCTTGCCTCTAAGAGAACAGGATATTTGTTGGTATGTGTAAGTGAAACACTATGTAGATATGAAGAACATTGGCTTTAATAACAGATTCAATGGGAATCACAACAGAATTTTGCCCCTCCAGTATTTAATGTTCATGTCCGATTTAAATTATAGCCTCTCTTGATGTTTGTTACTATCCCCTGTGGTCATGAAAATGAGAGTAGATTGGAGCCTGTTAACTACAATAGAAATATGAAGGGTTTTAATGAAGGGAGCAGGCAAATGGTAATGGCAATACATGGGAGAATGATGTCATGTGATTAAGACTGAGATCTGTGGTTGGATGATGTACACACTTAAATTCTTAATATCTATACAAGTGTAAATACAACTTTTCAAAACCTCCATTTCCTTTTTTACTCAAATAATATCACATTCTGTTGATTTTTTTAAAGTTTCAAATATAGCAATGATAAAAGAGTGCATTGTGACATGTTTAGCAATATTGTAGTTTTCAAGATACATTTTCTTTTTATCTCTGTCCTAATTTTGCCTTATTGTTGTCATATAATATTCAATTTAAATCATATTCAGATATGACATTACAGAGAGATGAGGAGATGATTGCAATCATAAAATATAACTGCTGTAATATGTAGACCTTCCCATTATGAATTGGAACATTGTTGCATCCTAAGGAAAATAATAATTGTATCTAACAAGAATATTCTGCTCATCTGCCTTGCAGTTAAGGCATAGAGAATCATAGAGAAAGGAAGAGATTGGTAAAAAATAGAAATAAAACCAAGGCAGATTTGAAAATCAAGAAGAGAAGATGTTGTGCTCAGTAACGTAGGATGTCACCATGAAGAACCCATTAGCAATATATAATAAATACAGCTACATTTTCATAACTTAAGTAGACATGAGTTTATAACCATAAATAGCCAATTTAGCTCAAAGTGTCCTATAAAATAGTGAGTGAAACTTCAGTGGCAAGACATTGCTAAAATGCTATCCTCTAAATGGACTGTTTAAGAATCTGCTGAACTATTATTAGGTATTTGATTTTATTTATAGTTTATTGACAATATAATGTGATTTTTAACATATTTTACCTCCATTGTTTTCTGCATGCATGATTGCCACATCTATCATAATGGCTGCAATAACCAGCAGCACCACAAATCTAGTGTACTGCTTCTGGTGTTTTGTTAAAACCCCAAGATGGAAACTCACTCTTATATTTATGTGTTCAATTCCATGAACTGGAGGGTTCATGATATTAGTGTGGCAGTGTGTTCTTGCCCTGTAAACAGTCTGATTACTCCTCATCAATTGTACAAGCTGTAAATAAAAACAAAAATTTAGTTAGAGTTCAGAAATTATATAAATGAGTTCATGAGCAGAATATTAATGTATTTTGATGGATATGTAATTTTTATCAATAAATACTTCATAAAAACAGAAATTAAAGAATTAAGGAAGTGCCCACCACCTAATTCTGTGTCTATTGGATCTGCAACTTAATTTGGGATTTCACTAAGTTTTGAAAAACTTAACTCCTCTTTTGTTCTCTTGTTTTCCCACTCTTCCAAAAGCTACTATTTGGAAATCAAACAGAGAAAGGAGCAAATGTATCAAGAACCAAGTGTTTTAATTGTCATCTTTCTCTAGTATTTCAGCACAAAGTCACAAACATATTTATTAATGTTCCTATTTTCTGTCAATAAATATTGAAATTTCCTTACCCAGACATAAGAATTTCAAATTTATTCAGTTAACACTGAATACATATAGCTATGTAACAAAAATTTTTAATAGTTTTAGAATAAAATTGTGTTCATTGTGACAAAATTACTAATGAAAATAGAGTATTTCTAGAAAACTAAGCAATGAAGAATCAAAATATACTAAATTATTATTAATGTTTATGTGCCATATTATTCATTGTATGATTAATGAAATATTAAATTTACTTAAATATATAATTTAGGATATCTTATTTATTTCTAATAATCAGCTAATTCAAGGAAGGTTAATGGACTCTTGTGAAGGTTAGGATGCAGAAAAACTGTCACTTAAAAACAGGAAATAAAAATTCAGTGTAATGCTTTCTCGTCTAAGTCGAAGTCATTGACATGAGACTCTTTTAGGGAAGCAATTAGAAAGAAGCAGGGTACTCACTATAGTCGTAAATGGTCTGGAAGAGAATTCATTGTGGAACTGAGTCATGTTAAGGGGAAAAAAATAACATCTAATCAGTAAAACACCAACATGTTTCAAATGGAGACACATTCTCTTGATGTCTATCATATTGAAGGTTTGCCTATTTTCTCTTCTTTGTGTTTTCTGACCTTGAGAAATGACTTATAGCAATCAGCAAGAACCAAATCAACCCACTTCTAATCTTGCCCTGATACTGAATAAACCCTAGCACTGAAAATCTTTAAATCACAATTCCTAGTATTTAGGGGCTTCCTGAAAGGCTAGATCTCTTTCTCTCTCTCTCTCTCTCTCTCTCTCTCTCTCTCTCTCTCTCTCTCTCTCTCTCTCTCTCTCTCTCTCTCTCTCTCTCTTGCTTCTTCACATGCATTAGGTTATCTCTGATCCAAATATATAGTTCACTACAATGCACATCTTCTACAGTGCTAAATGAAGATGAACAATGGAAATTTGTGATCCTGAATGCAATATTAGGAAATGAGTGTTCTTACTCTAGCCACATTTTAAGGGTTTCTACTATAGTTTTTTTTTTTTTAAGAAAAAGTAAAATTAGAGAAAACATAGAAAAATCATTAGATCCTTTGAAATTTCATGAAACTATCCCATTGACCCTGTCCATGTTTCAGTAGTTGGTGCTTCCTTTACCTATGAAAGTGTATTTTCTGATATTTGGGTCATGACACTTAGTGTCTCATTTACTAGTGCAATTCAAACATTAGCATGAAGGTTAAAGGACATACAAACTCCTGCTGGATTTGCTCAACAAGATTATGGATGGTTTGAGCTCGATTGATGGCACTGTTAAAGGTTTCCACAAGGGGCTCCCAGCAGTCCCAAACTTCGGTGTGGCACTCGGGATTTGATGCAGCTTTCTCCCACAGGAGCAGGTTCAACATCATCAGCAGCACAAGTGTCCCTACAAAATAGAAACAAGAGCCACTTAGGGATGATGCATTAATCTGAGTTTTTCAAGGCTCAATCATTTCAGAAAAGTTTTATTAGGCCAAGATTTTTTTCACTGCATGACTTTATATTGAGTATTTGGAATAGCAGATAAAATCACTGTGAGTACTTTGGCAATTAATTGCACTTTTCTGTATAATAGTTTGAGGAACAGGTAGTTTCCCATTTTTTTTATTGTTTGACAAATGATTCTGAATTCTACAAATGTCTGGAAGTGAAATGAACTCTCAACTGGCAGTTTTAATTCATTCCCTTTAGATAGTTTAGTGTCTTTCAGTTTAAGCCCATTTTCAAATAGTAAAGTCTTGAAGAATTTGTAATTTTTGGACTTCATGTCTGATATCAGGATTTTGGGCATTGGATAACAGGGTTAGCACAGTTTATCTGTTTGCTTTCTCTGTATTTTAGATCATAAACACAGGAAGATTACTAATCCAAAAGATGAGGAGAATGTTGTCTTAAAAGTGATGTCAGTTTGGAATTGCTAATTTATGATAAAATGTCAATAGAGTAACAATTCATTAAAAACTTCAGAATATTTTCTTTAAAGTTAATCTTCATAATAATTCTCTGACAAGATTAGTTTGTCGTGATTACTTCAGAATATTTTCTTTAAAGTTAATCTTCATAACAATTCTCTGACAAGATTAGTTTGTCGTGATTGTAATCTGAATAAATTTACGAAGGAGAAGGCTTATGGGGCTAAATGATTTTCCTAATGGTTGATTATTGGCTAATGGTGAAAACGGGACACCAACAATCAGGACTTTGCCCTTCACCTAGTCTTAGAAAGATCACACGTGGGTTCACACTACACATCTTTCTGACAGTGAACATAGCCACAGTTCTGAGATTCAGTTTTATTAGAGATCATTGCCCTTCCTTGAAAATAATAAACTTTGTCACTAAGACATTATAAGAAAGCTCTAGAAGCTTGATTTGATCTACTTACTTTGCTGTCTAAAAATACTCACACATAAAAGTTTTGACAATGATTAGCATTGACTTCAATCTAAAAATTGTTACTCATTAAGCAGTGCAGCACAAGGCCAAAAATTAAGGCTGAAGGAATCAACATAAAAGATAGAGGTCCAGAAGTTTTGTTGAGAGAAAGTGCTCTTTGATTATGCAATACCAAGTTGTCCAGCCTAAAATCATAGACATATGAGCAACATTAAATGGATCCAGCAGGTTGTTCATATGTATGTATAAACATAAATATAATAATTAAAGAAAAAAAACGCCCTGAACTTTAGAGGGACCATGGGAAAAGGCTTCTGAAGATGTGGAGGAGTGAAATAATATAATATTTATCATGTATGAAATTCTCAAAAAAATTTAGGAATGTAAAAATGTCTTCCTATTGCATTTCAAACATAATATTTTTTGTTATGATCTCCCTTTTTCTACCAAATGACATCTACAAAATATGGCACTTGGTCAGCACTCCTTGCTCTTCTTTGTGTGATGTGATTTGGCTTGTACTACACTGAAAAAGAGTACAGAACACAAGCTGCCATTTGTCTATTTCAGGCTTCAGAACTTAAAGATTCTTCAGATTTATTCCAATGTGAAAACTCATATACTATACCCAGGAGCAAAATTCTGTCTCTTCTGCCTTGAGATAAGATGAGTTGGACCCACTGACTTTACATCCTTGACAATTTCCAGTTTTTCAAACTCTGAAACATTGTCCTTTTGAGCTGTAATATTTGTTCTAGATGTCCGGTACATTAGGAGTTGTTTAATGGTCCCCATTGCTTCTACTCATTGGATACTAGTAATACTTCACTTCTTCTCTCCCTTCAATACAGATAACACAGGCTATCCCTGAATATTGCAAGCATGTCTCAAGCTAAAGGATGTTGAGAATAACTGATCCAATTGTCTCTTCTTCCCTTGTATAGTTGCCTTCAAGAAAAATAATTTTAAAAGATTGTAGAAAGTCTATGCTGAATTCTTCCCCTGGAAAACTGTGAACAAATATCTCTTCATACCAGATAGAACAATAAAGATTCCAAAGAAAGAGTTCCAACAAAACAAATTCAAGAACTGAATATTTTTACTTAGAGACACGTGGGGGGTGGGGGAGTGTACTTACAGCTGTGAAGTTGTCTCAAACGCAGCTCCATTGCTGAGAAGTTTCCAAAGAGGATGAGTGCTGTCTCTGGAGAACTGGCTCACTGGAGTCCTACATTCGGCTAGTTTCTTCCTCCTATATATTCTAGCAGATGGCCCCAAGGCATGCACAGCAACTGGACAGCAAGTAGTCACATTCGGAACCCCTCATGAGTGAACTATGTCTGTTTATCTTCAGGGAATGTTAGCAGTTTTATTACCACATATTTATCTGTGTCTGGATGGTTGTTTTGTTTTGTTTTCTTTTGCTTGTTTTTGTCACTTATTTTCTACGTGTTGATTCTTGTCCAAATGATTTTTGGTATCTCTGAAGTGGTCTCGACTGCCTGATGACAGATGGTCATGCCAGACCAGGAGGAAATTGTTGTTCATGACTACTGCCCCCTCCTTAGACTCTTACATTCTTTCTATTATCTCTTTTAAAAAGATTATGGACAAAGAGGGGTTCTTTATTCAATATTTGAGCATCATGCCACAGCATTAGTAAATTATTAGTAGTCTTATTATGAATCTCTGCCAGTAATCACTGACTATTTTCTCTGTAAACTAAACTGACAGCTATAGTAATCTACATGCCTAAATTAGATGCTTAGAAGTCATTTTGAAAGACACCAAATATATTTAATAGAAGAACTCCTTTAACTCCTCTTGAGAGTCTATGACATCTCAAATAAACGATTGTGCATTGGCTTGAAATACAAAATATGGTTGATTTGTTTGGAATTGGCCTTAATCATATCAGAAGTTTATTTATTTACCAAAAACATTTGTATCACTATTGTCCTAATGAGTATAGCTTTATATGCTTGCTGCTAGCATTAGTACTTGAGCCATAGTACCACTGGTGACAATTCTCCAAAAAACAGCTTCATAGTCTCTTCCAGACTCTGACAGCCAGTGGACATAGAGGGATCTTCTATCCCAATGCCAACCAAATTTCCTCATATTGTTGAAACAGAGTATTTGCTGCTTAAAAAATTTAGGCCAACCAATTAGGTATGCTACACATCCAAAAGGAGATACAGCTGCAACAATGGTGTGAGGGACCTCAGAAGCCGGACTGTCCAATATCTCTTGGGGAAGGTAACTCAGCCTGCTCTCAGGGATTTAATTCAATAATCATATGGTGCTCAGGAATCCCTTTCCCTTCATGTATGTACACTCTCATAAAAGTTCATTTAAAAAATCTCATTAAAAGCTGTGCTTGTGTCCTTTCAGATTCCCTTCCAAATGAGTAAAGTGTGTAGAGATTGAATCTATATAATGGGAGCTTTACAGGGACTCAGCATTTCCATAGACCTACTATTACCTGTTTCAAGAAACCACAAATTCACTTCCCAATTTTGTGTCTACATGGACACTAATCACATCTTAGCATTGGTGTTACACAGCATAAAGCCTCAAGCATATATCAGTTGTTTCTTCCAAAGCACCTGGCTATGTAGAGTAGCATGGATAACATCATTACTTCTTTTCCAAGCTTATAATCTACAGGCAGCCCCATGAACTGTTTAGGGTATTCCACCTGGGACTCTTTCATACGATTAGGAAAAGTTGGCATTTGGCTAAGGGCCAAAACAGAGCAGAGCACATTCAGTCTTCCCAAACCTACTGCCCCTCCATATGTCTTCCACCTTTTAAGATTCTCTTGCTTGGTCAATGAAGATGTTCACTGTTTTACCTTTTACAACCTGTTCTGCTGCCTGCTCAAAGATTCCCACAGAATAAACACTTTTCTCGAGGGCCTCAAGTACCAAATCGTCCATGACAACAACTGCTAACAGTAAATTTATGCCATCTACTTCTGAGATGCCCCTTGATAAGATAATAATGCAAAACTCCCTTTGAATTTTCTCCTCTCTTCTTTAAAAATAAAAACTACTTGGAAGTTCTAAAGTCTTTGTCAATTAGTATAAATTTCTTTTGGTGATTGCTGTGGGATGTTCTGTATGGCAAATGTGTTGCTAATTAGTCAATAAATAAAACACTGATTGGCCATTGGCTAGGCAGGAAGTGTAGGCGGGACAAGGAGGAGAATAAAGCTGGGAAGTGGAAGGCTGAGTCAGAGAGACACTGCCAGCCGCCATAATGACAAACAGCATGTGAAGATGCCGGTAAGCCACGAGCCTTGTGGCAAGGTATAGATTAATGGAAATGGATTAATTTAAGCTGTAAGAACAGTTAGCAAGAAGCCTGCCACGGCCATACAGTTTGTAACCAATATAAGTCTCTGTGTTTACTTGGTTAAGTTTGAGCGACTGTGGGACTGGCAGGTGAGAGAGATTTGTCCTCACTGTGGGCCAGGCAGGAAAATTCCAGCTACAGGTGATTTCATACAAAATCAAAATATTTCGGAAACAACAGAAGTTAAGCACCTAACTAATACATTATACAACTTACTTCAGACTCCAAGAATATTGTTACATATGTAAAAATTGTTAGAATCAAAAAATAATGTGACTGTTACACAGTTCCTAAAAATCTATCAAAAAGCATAAATTTGGCAGTTTCATTTGGAATGTCAAGCCATCTTTATTGGACTTTTAGAAGTATACTAACTGACAATACAGGTAGTATGTATTTGCATTGTCTGTAAGTACTGTGAAAATTTTCAGTAATCAGAAATGTGTTAGAACACAAGCAAGAAATGGCTCTCAATTTCTCTTCAACTGTCTTCAACCATGTTCCTCTGAATTTTTGTCTCCTAAGCATCATCTTAGACAAATTCCAGATGTTTGATTCATCCTGGGTAGAACAGTTTTTTTCCAGGCTTATATCAACTTGAGTTTACACTGACAGTTTTTAGTACTTCTCCATCACCCTCAAGTGGTTGAAAGCAGAGGTGAACAGATCCTACACTGTTTCTTCCCCCTCCTTCTGGATTTTGCATTCCTTTGAATTTTTTGACTTAGAAATTAGAAGACAGAAAAAATATGCCATTGGTGACTTACAACACAATAGCAAAGACTTATTTCTAATTATGGCTTGGAATATATTATTTGGAAGTAGTAAATGCCTCTCTTGGGGTGCACTACTGGTTTCCTAAAATACACACTTGAAAAACTCACTATAATCAGTGTCTTTATCTGTAGAAGAGCTGTACCAAATGTGATGGTCCCTCCAGTCTCTGCTCTTTCTTCCTTCACTATGTAAGAAAACTGCCTTCATTTGTACTTCATGGTTTGGGGTATTTTTGTTCATTTTTGCAGCCAAAATATTCATTGGGTTGACCATGAGATATGGTTTTGATGGTATGATAGAATACCTTTAGATAAAAGAGAAACACCAAATATGTATCAATTAATCTACAATCTATAATGCATTTATATCCCAGATAATCAACAAAAGAAGCTACAATTTTTGTGACTATGTGACAATATAAGATATCAATAAGTAACTTATGCTATTTTAAGCACATATTTGACATCACTTATTATTTTATGCTGCATATATCAGTACATGATGACAATGGAGAAACACATACTGAGGATAATCATTGCATTCTAGAGCATGACGCACATGAATTTTGAAACTTTGTATTTCTTCCATGAGACAGTGGAAAAGTAGCCCAATCTATCCCAAGAATAATCTATGTCTAAACTCATAAATAAAAACAAAATCATGATCTGCCTTGTTAGGTTGTTGGATTGGGGACTAGCAGAAAAAGAAAAAACCCAGGAACATATGCAACTATCATCATTACCACTCTAAAATAGAATAAATATAGATAGTTGAAAGGGCAAAAAAGCAAAGAAATGAAGGATATGGGAAACTCTAGGGCATTGGTGGGCCACTAGTTTGTGAAGGAATAAATCCAAGAGACTTCAGAGCATAAGACTAGAACAAAGGACAGATAAATCAAAGAGGAAGTTTTTGCCCAAAGACAGCCCAGACCTAGTAGATCTGCTCTTAATGGTTGCCCAAACAAACAGTTTATACACACACACACACACACACACACACACACACACACACACACTCACACTCACACACACACACACACACACAAACGAGAGAGAGAGAGAGAGATAGAGAGAGAGAGAGAGAGAGAGAGAGAGGGGTGGGGTGGGACTGAAGTTGAATCTCTCAAACTTTTCTTTTAGCAATATGCTTGGGTTTAGAGAAGGAGTGAGCCAATTCCATCTCCAAAGCCAGCTTGGCTTATAATTGAATTGGAACCACCACTTTTTTAGATTGATAGAGAGATAGATGTTAGACAGTGAGATTTTACCGTGTGTAGATTGGTACCAATAGATTCTTTCTTTCTGCTGTAAACATCCGGATATCCAAGGCCTTATGATTTGTGGAAGATGGGTATTTCCATCATCCTGGAAAGACAAAAACAGAACCCTACCCCAACCTTTGATTGTTAAATTTTTCTTACAGCTTGTAGAGATGTCACATTGGTGGATAATCTTTTACTTCTCCTCATCAAGGGGTTTTTCCTGTTCGAATCGAATTTTTATTAATTTTGTTGGTATCCATAGCTTTTCTTCTCCTGCAGAAACAAAGGCAAAACCCCTTCCCCAATGTAGAACATAAATGTTGTCAGCCATATTACAAGAATTACTCAAAATTTGTTAGTCAATTTAAGGTGTAAAATTATCAAGTACTTTTACTTACCTTTCGTGGTTTTGGGGGGTGTAGTAGCACTTTTTAGCCAGCAGGTGGCATTGGTACAGCTCCAAAGCAGGGCCTGCTGGTGATCTTGGCTGACTGTAGCTCGATGGAGTCAAGATGGCGGGAGCCGCTGGGAATGGAACCCTGTAGGCGTTCCCTGGTTATATGGAACTTTGTAGGCGGGTTTAGGTACCCCGCTAGCCGGGGAGGAGGCTGAGGGCGGGAGCCACTCAGGCCTTTGGAATTTGCCCCATGTTGGGCGCCAGATATTGGTGAAATTATTAAGGCCACTCCACTATGTCTCGGGGTCTGGGGAAGGTGTATCTCAGTCCAGCAGTGTTCTCTGGAGCTCTACTTGGCCCACCTCCACCAT